AAATAGGAATAGAAAAACATCTTACAAGATAGACTTTTAAGTCAAATATAGTCATCTTAATGAAAGACTCCCTAAATTATCCTTATTTTTCTATTTATTGTACACCAGTGATAATGAACTGCACTGATGCGGAACAATGGGTGGGATCTGCTGATTAAGTATCAAGCAAAATATTAGAAGAAAGTAAATTCGAAATTGTAATGAATTTTAAAGGATATTTACTTTTTTAAAAAAAAACTAGACAGAAAGCATACATCAGACACCTGGTGACCTCATATTATTTATTTCACAGACATTTTTCCAAGTCAGCACACAAAAATCTACCTCAATCTTTATAATGGTCATAAAGGTTCATCAAAAACTTATTCAAATTTTCTGAGGTGCTGACTATTTCAGGTTGATACTTTTACCCAAATACGGTTAAGAAAAAGAAAATTAACTCTACCAAACACAACTTCTTCTTTTTTTTTTTTTTTCGTCTTTTTCCGTGTCCGGCAACGGATCGCAACCCTCAGTGTCGCCCCCGTACCGGACCGGGACTGGCAACGGGATCGCAACCCTCAGTGTTGCTCCCGCGCCTCGCTCAGCCAGTGAGTGGGAACCAGTCTGTATGTGGGATCCGAACCCTCGGCGGGAGCGCCGCCGCACTTCCCAAGCCGCGCACTATAGCAGTGCGCCACCGGGCCGGCCCTACCAAACGCAACTTCTTAGTTGCTGTGGGAAAAAAAGTTAAAATACTCAATAGATTCTTGTTGAAAATACTAAAACTTTTTAGTTAAATAAACATTTACCAAGCACGTACTACAGGATAGGTCCTATGGATTTCATCTCTTACCTCTCTAACAATAAAGAAAGGATATTACCTGTATTTTTAACAACTCTTCCAGTTAGTCAAAAATCAGAATCAAGAATTATAAAAATCTAAAGTTCAACTCTCATGAAGAAATATTCAAACACTGAAAGTAGCAATGAAAAACTTGTAGTCTTCAATGACAATTGCAATTGTTCAAAATAAGTGGTGTAAAATGCTTTCAAAAAACTATCTCAGCACTTGAAGTGTAGAAATACTCAGGGTCCTTTAGATCCCACAGGTGACTTTTGGTCAAATAAACTCAGAAGGCTTGAAAGTCCTAAATGATGACCATTCTATAATGACTTTCCCCCTTTCTTTTGGGAAACAAACAGAATCAACACAATTCACCTATTGTCTATTGGGCTTAAGTCTGTCATATTAAGATCTCTGAGCTTTCTCTCCAATAGATAAGTTACATATTCACAAAAGGGAAGAAACAAACCTAATATTGACCAATCCCTGTGGAAAATCTGTCCAGAAATTATGCTTGCTTGTTTTTCTAATGTTTCTGCTTCAAAAATAGAAGACAGAAGTCCACTGAACCTGCCTCAAATGAGGTCACAGAGTTATGATTGGATGTCAACATAGTCCATCATTTTTTGGCCATAAGCTACCAATCAGAACATCTTGAGCATTTGAAGTACCTGCCTCATTTTGCTAACAAGGATTAGCAGTGTGTTGTCTGTACCCAAGAACATGGGAGTCTGAAATGATCATGGGTTTTCAAAACACTGTTAAATATTTTAAAACACACACTGTTACTTCTTGATAAATTCTGGCACTGAGTGAAAACAATCTGTTTCTGAAAAAAAAGCCGTGGAAGTCTCATTCATTACTGTCAAAGAATTAATATAAGGCCCAAACTTACTTATCAGTAGGTTCACCTTTGGCTAGTTTTTCAGCACAAGCAATAGCTCCTTTGTGAAGCCAGCAATATGTATCCACGGCTACTACCTGTCCTTTGTACTTCCTCACATGGATGGGTTCTGAAGCTTCTCTGATGAATTGTAGCAATCCATGTATCCCCATAGTGCCAAATTAACTACATGATATGAAAGGAGAAAGAGAAAACAGCAATATTTAAAGCAAAATATATTTACCAGAAAGTTTTTAAAAATAAAGAAAAAAAGCTTGGAAACTGATATAGAAACTGTTATTGCTCAGATATCTGAGAATCACTACCCTTTAATAGTTTAACTGGGCTTCTCCCTGTCAAACAATTTCCATAGTGTAGAATTTACATTAATTACTAACACTACCTCTAATGCCACTTGATAGATGCTTAACGTTTATTCTTTCCAAGGGGCTTTCACACTTGTAATCGTAATGTATGCCCCAAGTTCTTAACACAGTTCTAGGCACACAGAAGGTGCTCAAAAAAGTATGAATCGCTCCTCTCTGCAAAAAGCCACTGTTAAAATCTACAGAACGGTGTATACTATGGCATCCCATTGCCTCTACAAAAGGCATTTAAAAATGGGCTAACATGTAAATTTGCTTAGGAGCAAAAGCTCTAAACATTTTGTAGGAAGGTAGGCATTTCAATTGAAAAATAAAATAAGCAAAATTACAGAAATGAATCTATACTTTTTTAGGACTAAAATTCTCTGCTATCAGAATGCATTATTCCAGCTACTAATACATTATAAGCAGTGATGGTGTCTAGGGGCAACTACCCCAAAGAAATGTGAAACTGTCTGCTGTGCAAATATAGCTTCAAGACAAATGCTTTAACTTCCCACCCCCTTCCATCCAGGTTGCAGCCCCCTAAGCCCTTTTTATACATAAATTCTGGAGCTGCCACTACGATGCTTTCCGAAGCAACCACTCCCCTCAATTCCCCATGACATAAGTGAAAGACAGCAATGGGCACTGAGCAGTTGCTTAGCAGTTCATACTCCAAATCTCTCCTACAAAAGGGAGGAAAGAAAGCACAGGATCATAAGTCAGCCTCACCCTATTGACGCAGTCTCAGAGCTCTAATGCTCTAGTTCAGCAGTTCTCAAATTTCAGAAGTCGGCAGATTCTCAACTTCACTCCCAGTGACTCTGATTCATCAGTTCTGGAGTGAGGCCGGGGACTGTGAATTTTAAACAAGGTAGACAATCTGGGTGCAGCAGGTGGCCCTCAAACCACAGCTTGAGGAAAACAATTAATCTCCTACCTCTTGGATTATCAAAAGTCTTCTTTGATTTTGAGAAAAACAGACACAATGTACATTTCGTGACACTTAACAAAAGTTTCTTCTAGGCCAGGTAAATATCCTCGAAGATATATCTCCTCTTTCGCACTGTAAGAATGACTGAGTGCCACATGGCACGTATCACCTCAAGGAGTGTCCCTGTGGCACCCGAGGTCATAGACACAGCAGCAACTCGGCTCACCGCTCTATTCCTCCGTCTCACAGGGGTGTGCTGGCGTGGCCCGCGAGCCCATTTCAGACGACACCTTCCTTAGGCCAGCACAAAACTAAGGGAAAAAAATTTACTTGTAAACATTGAAAAGTGGGGGGATCGTGTGTAAACACTGGACGGTCAGCTTCTGCGGAAAAGCACGAGCACTCCGGCAGCCATGGAGCGAGCGCGGACGCCCCTGGGCTCCTGAGCTGCAGCCCCCGCCCGGCCGATCGTTCCCTGGGAACCTCACACCACGTACACAGGCCGGGGCTTTGCGGTGGGGCCCGAAGACCACGCCAGGCCCTCTTGTGCCCTCCCTGGAAGACCTGGATCCCGGGAGGAGGGACGCGCAGTCCCACCCATTAGCCTCCGCACAGCCCTCGCCCCTCACCTTCCGGGAAGAGCTCCCCCTGGCCGCTCGAGGGCAGCCGGATCGGGGCTCCGAACACCCCACAACCCTCACTCAGGAGGCCAGAGCAGCCGGGGCGGCGGCGCGGCACGCCAAGGGCCTGATCTTTCAATTTGCGCGGGATCGCCCGAGGCCCCGCCCAGTGGACGTGACGTCAGCGCGCACCCGCGACGCCGGCTCTGCCTCCGCGGCCTCACGCTCATCCGGGTCCTGACCGTCTCACTGGACGCGATGCCGCTGCACCCCCCGACCCCGCGCGGCCTCTTGAAAGCGCCAGGAGCTGGGCTGAAGACCGATGGGGGTCGCGACCCTGAAGGTTGGGAGTTCTCGCTCGCTGGGGCTGCTGGGAGTTGTAGTTCTCTTATGCCTGGAGCTTCAGTTCCAGCGGCTGAAGTTTAAAGAGCGCCGCCACGTGGAAAAAACCTGGAAGAGAAGCCCTGTTGGAATTAGTCTCATAGGCCCACGCATCACCCCCAGCTTCCTCCTTCTCTATTTTATTTTATCAATATACAATGTGGTTGATTATTGTGGCCCATTACCAAAACCTCCCTCCCAACAATGTCCTTTCTGTGCTTGTCCTATGAACTTCAAGGACTTGTAATTGTTGTGTCTTCTTCCCACCCCCCTCAGTTTATTTGTGTATTTATTTATTTATTTTTAGCTCCCACAAATAAGTGAGAACATGTGATATTTCTCTTTCTGTGCCTGACTCGTTTCACTTAATATAATTCTCTCAAGGTCCATCCATGTTGTTGCAAATGGCAGTATTTCATTCGTTTTTATAGCTGAGTAGTATTCCATTGTGTAGATATACCACATTTTCCGTATCCACTCATCCGATGATGGACATTTGGGCTGATTCCAGCTCTTGGCTATTGTGAAGAGTGCTGCAATGAACATTGGGAAACAAGTATACCTTCGACTTGATGATTTCCATTCCTTTGGATATATTCCCAGCAGTGGGATAGCTGGATCGTATGGTAGATCTATCTTCAGCTGTTTAAGGAACCTCCAAACCATTTTCCATAGGGGTTGCACCATTATGCATTCCCACCAACAATGTAAGAGAGTTCCTTTTTCTCCGCAACCACACCAGCATTTATCGTTCAGCGTCTTTTGGATTTTAGCCATCCTAACTGGGGTGAGATGGTATCTCAGTGTGGTTTTGATTTGCATTTCCCGGATGCTGAGTGATGTTGAGCATTTTTTCATATGACTGTTGGCCATTTGCATATCTTCTTTAGAGAAATGCCTACTTAGCTCTTTTGCCCATTTTTTAATTGGGTTGCTTGTTTTTTCCTTGTAAAGTTGTTTGAGTTCCTTATATATTCTGGATATTAGTCCTTTGTCAGATATGTATTTTGCAAATATTTTCTCCCACTCTGTTGGCTGTCTTTTAGCTCTGTTAATTGTTTCTTTTGCTGTGCAGAAGCTTTTTAGTTTGATATAATCCCATTTATTTTTCCTTTGGTTGCCCGCGCTTTTAGAGTCATATTCATTAAGTCTGTGCCCACTCCTACTTCCTGAAGTGTTTCTCCCATGTTTTCTTTCAGCCTCCTTCTCTCTTTAAAATGTCCTGTCACCTCTGCACAAATCGATGAACTCAGTTCACGCTGAACTCTTTTTCCTGCTGCAGTAGTGTTTCTGAGAACAATCTGTCCTTACCACTTCACCTAGTGTCCGGCTTTGTTTATCTTTGAGATAAGGCAGGGAAAACTTTACCTTGATAACCAAACTATCTTTAAAATGGGCCTTGGAGTGCATAGATTTTAAGAACACTTTGGACTCTGGTGCCACACAGACTAGGTTTCCAGTCCCCATAATACCCCAGGCCTGGTTGCTGTCCTCTTCTCTTAGTAGTAAAGTGGTGAAAAAATTAGGGAAGAACCTTAGGCAAGACCACCAAGTACGTTCTCGGCCCAGAGATCAGCAGAAATAATTTAGACCCAATTCAAGGAACTGAAGCGGAAGAATGTTGTTAAAAATGTTCCATTTGATGGCCTTCTCTACACATTTCTCTCATGCTTCTTTTAAAGTCTTTTCATGATCAGTCTAACATCTGTCATGCCAACATAATTACCTTAAAAGTTGTTGAAAAGGTGCCACGCTTGGGGAATGTGTTTGGAGGATTTTGCTTTTCCCCAGTTTTGGTCTTTAGAGTTTGGACTAGGAGAGAAGAGGAGAAAAGTTATCTTCTCTTCCTCTTCCCATGGCTTCGGTAGACCTTGACTTGAACCAACCAACAGACAGATCCCTAGGGAAAAGGAGACAGTTTCAAACTGCAGTCGGTCAAAGAGGAACTTAAATATGGGCAGAGATTGGACTACCCAGCTGTTGTAACTGTTTTAATATCTCGGATCCAACCAAGAATATATCATACATGCAGGTGTTAGAAAGGAACCCCGGAATCAAAAAGCTGCCCATTCCAGCCACACTGAATCCATCATGAAACTAACATGAGAGGTTGCTGCACTGCAAACAACTCATGTGTTTACTACTAATTTGGCTTCCAAGGTTCCAGACTGGGTTTTTTTTTTTTTTAAAGGGGATGACCAGTAAGGGAATCTCAATCCCTGGCTTGGTGTTGTCAGCACCACGCTCAGACAGTGAGCAAACCGGCCATCCCTATATAGGATCCGAACCCGTGGCCCTGGTGTTATCAGCACCGCACTCTACTGAGTGAGCCACGGGCCGGCCTGCAGACTGGGTTTTTGGCTGCAGTGTTCGAACACTGAAACTAGAACACCACCAGTTTAAAAAGATTGCACCGAACAGAATATTTTTATTCTTTGGGAGGATAAAACCATTTGAATCACTTTGTGCAGTAATTTAATACATGCCTTAGGTGTGCCGGTCAGTTCCAGATGGTGTGGGGGACACAAAGAGATGGCCCCTGTCTTCAACGAACTTATATGAAGTTCTACAGACAAAACACATGCTCATCAGAAAGCTAGATCACAAATCATAATGATGTGTTATTAAATTCTGAAATAAATGGTATGCCCTATAAATTCTCACCGTAAGACTCAGTTTCAGTATTACCAGTTCCCAGTAGTCTTCCTAGAGATGGATATTTGTTCAACATGCACACAAGTATCCTATGATGACTCCTTTGCCCTGACATTTCTTATACTCTCACCTTGTCCCCCAATAGTCCAAGAGGTAGATTTGTACAAATAATAATATAGGACACCCAGGAATTTGAATTTTAGATGAACAACAGATACATTTTTAGCATATGTATGTCTAGTGCAATATTTGGGACATACAACAATAATAATCCATGTTTATCCCAAAATACAAATTTAACCATACATTCTGTATTTTTATCCGGCAACCTTACCTTAAGGGCAGGAATTATATCTACAAATTTTCATATCCTCAGTGTTTAGCTCTAGTACAGATTTTAAAAAGTCTAAATTTGTGGACTAATAAATGAATGTCCTAGATATGGCACCATAAATTCTGGGTTTTCTGGACAGTCCTTATCTGTAAATACTCTATGTTGTTGAAAGATTGGGTACCCTGATTTTTAATTTAGAAAATATTGTCTCCATTGTTATAGAACAATGTTTTCTGAAGTATAGAATAGAGCAAATGATTTGGGGCCCCAGTGACTGGTAGGGGCCCCTCTGGATGGTCTTGTACCTTTGCCTGGTTTCACGCAGGGTTGCTGGATTCACTGCTGAGCAGCGTCCCACACACCCACTGATACGCACACCAGGATTTTCCAAGAAGAGATGTGGAAGTGGGGATTCTTTTCAGTCAGCAGCATGTGGAAACTTTTTCTCAAACCCAATTTCCCTTTAAACTGGAGAGACACGAAACTGAGGACAACCTCAAGTGCCAAGCAAATCAGCACCCGATTGCCTTGAGGTGTGGGGCTGTGTTTTCATTTTGTCCCTCTGTTGAGCTCTACATAGATACATGTTAAAAAATAGGATGCTTAAAGTATAAAGGTGAAGATGATGAGGGATATGCGAGCAGTGACAGTGATTATTAGGTAGACTACTAGATAGTCTAATAATCAGATAGACTATTAGATAGTGATTATTAGTGGAACACTTTTTTCCTGAATAATCACTAACAGCTCCAGTTTTCTGACTGAGGAATTTATTTTTAGGTGCTCATATTTGTAGTTTAAATAGGTTGGTTTTTATTTGCATTCAGTTGTTTTTACATTTGAAAATTATTTTAACTAAGTGACTTTTCATTCTATTTTTACAGTTACTT